AGAGAGAGAGAGAGAGAGAGAGAGAGAGAGAGAGAGAATTTTTAATATATATATATTTTTTTAGTTTTCTTTTTTCAGCAGACACAACATCTTTGTTTGTATGTTGTGCTGAGGATCAAACCCGGGCCGCATGCATGCCAGGCGAGCGCACTACTGCTTGAGCCACATCCCCAGCCTTGAGAGAGTTTTTATTAATATTTATTTTTCAGTTTTCAGTGGACGCAACATCTTTATTTTATTTTTTATGTGATGCTGAAGATGGAACCCAGCACCCCGTGCTACCACTTAAGCCACACCCTCAGCCCAAGACTTATAGTTCTTAACTCATAGAATTTTTTAGTTAATTTTGTGCATATTAAATGACAATGCATAAAAATATTTGATACATTTATCCACCAATTATGAATATTTTTATATTATGAATTTTCTTTTGTATTAATAACTCAATATTATTTATGGGTTATAATAGCTATTATTCATATTCTTACTGGAGAATTATTAGATATAATTTTTTTCTAATGGAATGGACCTCAATTCATCCTTGTTACGTTTCAAACTTCATCTCTATGGTTTGATTATTATGAAATAGAACCTGCATTTGCTTGAAGTCATTTTATTACCAGACAAGGTAAAAATGTTACCCACTGTGTACCCTGCAGCAAGGTGACAGTGTTCTTGTTTGGCATCACCTCTCTGGTTCTCCAGTTCTACGTTCTGCTAAGGTAAGTTCCACCTGCAGCTCAGCACGCAGGTCTTACCTGGGGAGGTGGTCTGGGTGTTGTCTCTGATTCCTGCAACATGTTTAACTGCAGCCTGCCCCATTGTTTCTGCCTCTATTATCCACGGCAGTCATCATTCACCTCTTTGAAAAGTTAAAAATCTCCACACAACAAGGATAGCTGGGATTTGAGCAGACTAGTTGATCAACCCTTACTTCTTCTAGTATAAGAAGCCATTAAATGGGAGACAATGAGGATGCCAGTGTTATTTATGAATTCCCTAGAGACCAGTCCCAACAGACTGGTATCAGCTAATGTCTGCAGGGCTGAGGACTACATGGGTACGCTCAACCAAATTAAGATTTGATATGTGCAAGAAGGTATGTTTCTTTACAAGGTTGTAATTTCCACAAATATCAAATTAGAATAAATTAGAAAAGTGGTAAACATTTGTTCACTGATTTAGACTATTGGTAACTGTCACTATTAACCAAGTTCTAAAAAGAGAAGTGAGTTTCCTGGAGCTAAGATGAACCTTAGCACCAGAATTAAGATTAGGAATCAAGGATTACGGTTTGGGAGGCTAAGACAGGAGGATCGCAGGTTCAAAGCCAGCCTCAGCAAAAAAGTGAGCAATTCAGTGTGACCCTGCTTCTAAATGAAATACAAAATAGGCCTGGAGATGTGGCTCAGTGGTTGAGTGCCCCTGAGTTCAATCCCCAGTATCAAAAAAGAAAAAAAAAAGAGAGGAAAAAAAATAAAGGGTTGGTGCCTTCTGTGTAGTGCTTAGAGGATTTCTTATAATAGGTCATGAATTCCATGTCAACCACATTATTGAATTCTAGGCCCAGATCATCTCGATACTGCAGTCAACCTCTCCTGACCAACCTGGTGGGTAACATCATCTTTACTTTCTTCACAATTGGTAAGTGTGCAGTTAGCTGCCCACCACTCACTAGATTTCTCCCATTCGCTAGACACTGCTAGAACACAAATGGCTAAGATAGGGTTTTCTGCTTTTCAGGCTCACAGACTGGATATTAAGAAAAAAATTCACATTTAAAGTTCAGGTGACCAGAAAATTTTAAACATTCCCTTGTATCTCTTGCAGCTGTACAAAATTTTTGACTATGAAACCTAATAAGTTTGTATTTAGTCTAATACAAATGCTTTAAGTTGTAAAATTTTTTAAGGTTATAGTACTAAAGTACCAGATCTAGTTATTCGCTAAATAAATGGTTATTAAGCAAGAGATGATAGAGGGACTGGGTGTGTGGTAGTGGCATGCCTATAATTCCAGTGACTGGGAGGCTGAGGCAGGAGGATGGTGAGTTTGAGGCCAGCCTGGGCAATTTATTGTGACATTATCTCAAAAACAAACAGGTAGGGGCTGGGGATGTGGCTCAAGCGGTAGCGCGCTTGCTTGGCATGTGTGCGGCCCGGGTTCGATCCTCAGCACCACATACCAACAAAGATGTTGTGTCTGCCGAGAACTAAAAAATAAATATTAAAATTCTCTCTCTCTCTCTCTCTAAAAAAAAAAAAAACAAAAAAAACCCAAACAAACAGGTAAATACAGCTGGGGAAGTACATCAGGAGTAGAGTGCTTGTGGGAATGTGTAAGACCCTGGGTTCAATCCCTAGAAACACACACACACACACACACAAAAAAAAAAAAAAAAAAAAAAAAAAAGAAAAGAAAAAAGAAAGAAAGAAAGAAAGAGATTATACTGGTTAGGGAAATAGGGTCATTGACAACTTGAAGCAAAAAAGCATCACTGAATGGCTGAGGCTATAACTCAGTGGTAGAGCTCTTGCCTAGCCTACTCAAGGTCCTGGGTTTTATTCCCAGCACAACAAAACAAAAACATGAAGAGTGTATCGCTGAAATGTGAAGTTTTAGGAATATTGTAATCCATAGATTTCACTATACTTTCCTTTGTAGAAACATATAAGAGTATTGAACGGCGGAGGAGCTGAGGGTGTATCTTATTGGTGGCATGAGTGCTCAGCATATGCAGAGCCCTGAGTTCCATCCCCAGCACTGAAATTCTATGTTGAATTTTTTAAAAATAAAGTATTTATTGTTGTAGACCTAGAAGAGAGTCTTTTACAACTCCACAAGAGGCAGTATAGTATAATGGGGAAGGGTTTTAGAGGTCAGTCCAAATATTCATTCTATAATCAATGATGAGTTACTTAAATCTCTTTGAGACTCCCTTTGATTATTTATAAATTGGTGATAGAAATACTTGCACCATAGTTTTGATGTAAAGTTTAATTGAGAAGAATCACTTAAAATAAAATAAAGAAACCAAAGCCAGTTATTATTATTAGCATTGCACATATAAAAGGAAAACCTTAGTCTAGCTAGATTTTGTGCATTTCTGTTCCATAGGAGCAAAGTAGGAAAGCAATTTAGATTTGGGTTGGGGAAGTGGCTCTTTGGAAAAATGCTTGCTAAGCGCTTTCATGAGATCCTGGGATTCATCCCTAGTACCACAACCACAACGACAACAAAAATGTCAACTGCAAATTATATTTAGATGTGCACTCAAGAATATGATTCTGAGGTGATTAACCTGGTAAGCCAATGCTGTCCCCTCCCTTTTAGGTCTTACTGTGCTGCTTCTGCAGATGGAACCAGTCCCACGAGCACTGAAGAGGATGCTTTGTGTATTTGGTGCAGGATCCTTCAGTAAAGGAGTCTGCACCATAGTGTTAACAATTTTGGCATCAGACTGTGTACGTTTTTAAATACTGACTCTCTAAAGGCTCATCTTAATCTGAAAGTTTGGCTATAAACAATATGCCATTAGTCTTCAATATTTATTTTCTATTTACAACAAAAATAAAGATATGTAGAAATGGAATTCCTAATTAGTCACGTCAGTTAAAACATTTTTCTGGAGAGGTTAAAAACATTCTATAAGAGGCTCAGGGTGTAGCTCAGTGGTACAGAGCAGGCTTAGCATGCACAAGGCCCTGGGTTCCATCCCCAGCATCCACCACCACCACCAAAAAAAGAAAAAGAAAAATTCCACAAGCGATTTTTAAAAAATGTTCTTTCTTTTTGATGGTACCGGGGATCAAACCCATGGTGCTCTATCATTGAGCTACACCCCAGTGTCTTATTTTAATAGTGTTCTGATTAAAAGACAAAGTATTCCTCACAGTGCTCTTCTCTTCTCAAATACAGGAAAAAACAACCCCTGAACTTTACTACTTGTCAGTGCTGCTGTCAGTGGGCAGCCTGGTGTCTACAGGTAAGCAAACCTGTGCCCCACGTGGCCGTACCTGTCAGATGCTCACCAGTCCTTCCAGGAAAGTACCTACTCACTGAGAAGGAGCATTCTATTGCAGGGGAAGCCCGGGCTCTTCTCATGGCAGGCACTCGAAGAGCCAAAAAGCGTGAAAAACAAAGGAAAAGGGAATTTAGGAGGGGATATAAAACCATCCTCTCCCCTTACTTCCACTCTACTTAACTAGAGTCCATTCTCTACCCTCCAGTTCTTTTCTCAGGCATGGGGCTCATCCAGCTGTCCAGGGTGACCTGCCCAAGGCCAGAGGCTAAAGCGACAGTATGAATTTGACCTTCAAGGGAGGATAGTAGAGGATAGGAAAGGTAGCAGAATACAACAATTACTAATATGGCATTAGGTAAAAATGTGGATGTGTAACCAATGTGATTCTGCAATCTGTATTTGGGGTAAAAATGGGAGTTCATAACCCACTTGAACCTAATGTATGAAATATGATATGTCAAGAGCTTTGTAATGTTTTGAACAACCAATAAAAAAAAAAATGAATTTGACCTTCAAGTCCTGCTGGTCTCTAACCTCAGATAATACATCCCAGGAAGGCCAAGCCTGTCCCACCAGCACTGCCACATGTCAGCAAGCAGGTGATCATCTCCTGCTTTGCTGCTTCTTGAGGAAATGATCAGCTGAACACTATGGCCAACTACAGGAGGCACGCCAAGACCAGTCACTTGGAAGAAAATTGTTTTTAAGTATTAATGAGCACTTTCAGGTATAAATAGGAATAGGTCTACTGAAATCACAGGATTGCCATCATAATAAACTCACCCCAGAGGAGAATCTCTGGGGTGGTTTTCAAGGTCATTATTTTGACTTTCTAAAACTTATTATTATTTTTTTTAATACTTATTTTTTTAGTTTTAGTTGTATACAATACCTTCTTATTTATTTATTTTTATGTGGTACTGAGGATCGAACCCAGGGCCTTGCGCATGTTAGGCGAGTGCTCTACTGAGCCACAACCCCAGCCCCTTATTATTATTTTGTCCAATAAAGTTAGTAGTATCTGCTGGATGAATGCTATAGAAATAAATGCAGATAAGCAAGGACGTGGTGGCCCATGCCTGTAATTCCAGTGGCTCTGGAGGTCGAGGCAGAATCAGGATTGTGAGTTCAAAGCCAGCCTCAGCAAAAGTGAGGTGCTAAACAACTCAGTGAGACCCTGTCTCTAAATAAAACACAAAAAATAGGGCTGGGGATTTGGCTCATCGGTTGAGTGCCCCTGAGTTCAATCCCTGATACCCACCCCCCAAAAAAACAAACAAAAAAACCCCCCAGAAAACGAAAGGAAAATACAAATCTTAATAATCAACAAAGGTTTAGTTTTGAAAGAACACAATGATTCAGACTGCCTATTTGAATGAAGCTAACTTGTTGCTTCTTGAAAAATGTAGTGCAAGAGGCTGGGGTTGTGGCTTAGTGGTAGAGTGCTCCCCTAGCACATGTGAGGCTGATGGTTCGATCCTCAGCACCACATAAAAATAAACAAAATAAAGGTATTGTGTACAACTAAAAAATAAATATTAAAAAAAATGTAGTGTGAGCTGGGCCTGGTGGCGCATGCCTGCAATCCCAGCAGCTCAGGAGGCTGAGGAAGAAGGATCATGAGTTTAAAGCCAGCCTCAGCAACAGCAAGGTGCTAAGCAGCTCAGTGAGACCCTGTCTCTAAATAAAAAGTACAAAATAGGGCTGGGGATGTGGCTCAGTGGTTGAGTGCCCCTGAATTCAACCTCTGATACCCTCCCCAAAAAAGGGTTGGAGAAAAAGCTCAGTGGTAAAACATGCCTGGATTCAATCCCTAGTAGTGCCACCCTCCCCAGTCCACCCCTGCCCGCTCCAAAATGCACTGAGATATTTTGGAGTAAAAATAATAATCTCTTCCCTCTGGATTACAACAATCTTTTGCATTGATGGTCAGTTGTTTTCTAGAGAAAATAGCTAATTGATCCACATCATGTCTTATTACTTCTATGTGTATACAGATTCTGAGGCATTTTAAGCAGAGGCTAGTTACACAAATGCTCTCACGTTAGAACCCGGGGTGCTTAAGGGGCCCCAGCCCTTTATGTTTTTTGATTTGAAACAGGGCTTTGCTAAGTTGCTGAGGCTAGCTTAGTTCCATTTTTTTAATATTTATTTTTTAGTTGTAGATGGACACAATATCTTTATTTTTATGTAGTGCCGAGGATTGAACCCAGGGCCTCGCACGTGCTAGGCTAGTGCTCTACCGCTGAGCCACAACCCCAGCTCCTCCTTTTTTTTTTTGAGAATTATTTAATATTTATTTTTCAGTTTTTGGCGGACACAACATGGTTGTTTGTATGTGGTGCTGAGGATTGAACCCGGGCCACACGCATGCCAGGCGAGCGCGCTACCACTTGAGCTACATCCCCAGCCCAGCTCCTACTTTTTTTAAATATTCATTTTTTTAGTTGTAGGCGGACATGATATCTTTATTTTATTTTCATGTGGTGCTGAGGATCGAACCCAGTGCCACGCATGCTAGGCGAGCGCTCTGCGTTTGATCCACAACCCCAGGCCTAGTTCCACTTCTTGAGGAAAAGAACAACATTTAATGGCAGGAGAAATTCAGTATAAACATCTCCCAACACATTATGACAGGCATAGCACCTTGACAGATGGAAAAGACTATCAATCATCTGTTTCTCTGTCCAGGTATAGATAGAGGGGGAGGTTACCAACAGAAGCACACCATCTATCTACCCTGCAGTTTTCTCCCCCACCCCACGGTACTGGGGATGGAACATAGGAGTGCTGTGCCACTGAGCCACATCTCCAGCCCTTTTTCTTTTTTATTTTGAGATAGGGTCTTACTAAATTGCCCAGGTTGGACTCAGACTTACATTCCTCCTGTGTCAGCCTCCCAAGTTTCTGGGATTATAGGCCCTTGGCTATATCACAGTTTCTGAGCACCTTCCAATCCCAGACTTAGTGCTAAAAATTAGGTACTAACCACCTGAATAATACACATTAAAAATGAAATTTCCTTTAAATAATTGTATTATTTAATCATCAACAGAAACAATTTATAACAAAACAGCTTTTACTTTTCTAGACCTCACTAACCAAAATATTGAAATATTGAATGTCAAGATAGTATTCTTGATAGTATTTCAAGAAAGTACTCAAGATCGCATTTCAAGACAGTATTCTTTACTGGGCATGGTGGCCTATAATCCCAGGAACTCAGGAGGCCATCTCAGAAGGATTGCCAGTTTGAGGCCAGCCTCAGCAATCTGGTGAGACCCTTATCAAAATAAAAACGGTTGGGTGTGGAGCTCAGTGGTAGAACAATCCTGGATTCTATGTCTGATACTGTCCAAAAGAAAATATGTGGCCAGTGTGATTTGCTAATAGATGGAATGTGAACTGTGAAAGAAGCAACAAGTGTGATTATAAAAACTTCTGGCAGAAGCAACTAAAAGAACAGCACTGCCTAAACTGAGGGGAAAAAAAAAGATGGCCACTATAGGTTTAGGGGGAAGATCAGCCCAGGGCAGGGAGTGTAGCTTGGTAGTAGAGTGCTGGCCTAGTGTGCACAGGCCCCGGGTTCAATCCTCAACACCAAAAAAAAAAAAAAAAAAAAGGAAAGAAGGAAATAATGAAGACGCAGGCTGGGGCTAAAGCTCAGTTGTAGAGAGCTTGCCTAGCTTGCTTAGGGCCCTGGGTTCAATCCTTAATGCGTGCGCACACACACACACAAACCTGAAGATAAGAAAAAAGGCCGAATTTTGGGCTCTTCCTTACACTTACTAAACCCATTTATTTATTTACTTAAGATCCCCACCTGAGCCAGGCATGGTGGCGCATGCCTGTAATCCCAGTGGCTTGGGAGGCTAAGGCCAGATGATCTGTAGTTCAAAACCAGTCCTGGCAACTTAGAGCAAGACCCTGTTTCTAAATTATATATATATGGCTGAGGATGTGGCTTAGTTGTTAAGTGTCCTTGGGTTCAATCCCTGGTTTAAAAAAAAAAAAATCCTCAACTAATTGAATAGATAGTTAAGTTTTAAAACACTGCTCTGGAACAATTTTAAAAACAAAGCTGTTTTGTTTATAAATTCTTTCTGTTGATGATCAAATAATTATTTCAAGGAAATTTCATTTTTAATGTGTATTATTCATGTTTTTAGTTGCTAATTTTTAGCATTAAGTCTGGGATGTGGAAGGTGCTCAGAAACTAGAATATAGCTAAGCACCAGAACACCAAAAAGTACACACTGTAGTATTGTAGTCGTTTGGTCTAGATGAGAGACAATGAAAGGTAAAAACAGGATTGTGTCAAGAGTTTGCAACCAGTCCAGCTAATTGACTGAAAGAAGGAAGAAATAGGAAAATAATAATATTTCTTACTTGAGTGACTGATCAGTTGCATGCCTCTAGACAGAGAGGACAAGAGGGAACACAGGTTAGAAGGGATAAAGATAGCAACTACCGTAGTAGCCGGCTTGGTGGTACATGCCTGTAATCCCAGCCTCATTCCCTCTTAAAATTGGGAGCCATCTTGCCACAAAGCCATGAAAAGCTAATTTCGGCTTTACTGTAAATTCTGAACTAGCTTGGATTGCTTGCCCGTGCCTTGAACTCACCCATGCCTGGCTCCCTGACCAGATAGCAGCTCTCTCTGAAACTTTAGTGATGCCTCATAAATCTTGGCCTTCCCTGGCCTGATAACGACCCTCTCTGAGGCTCTAATGACCTTCATAAATTCTGATGTCGGGGCCAGCAAATATGTAAACTAGCCTTTGTGTTATGTTCCTCAGAGTTTTGTTATCTGTAACCTGCCTCCCTTTTGTGTAACTTTCTGGGATATGAAGCTGGGCTGCAAGAAAGCTGCAGTGCTGTCCTGTTCCCACGATTATTGTTGGGAGAGGCAGCCCAGCTGGTCGAAATAATAAGCTTGCTTTAATTTGATTTTAATTGGAATCAGTGGTCTTTTCTTTGCGTCCTGATCTAACAAGAGGCTGAGGCCAGCTTCAGTAACTTAGCAAGACCCTGTTTCAAAACAAAAAAGGGCTGAAGATGTAACTCAGTGGTTAGGTGCCCTTGGGGCCAATCCCAGGTACAAAAGGGGAAAAAAAAAAAAAAAAAGAAAAAGATAATGACTACTGTTTTATAGAGGTTGAATCTGAGGTATTGAAGTGGTCTGTTTTCCAATGCTATTACAAAATACCTGAGGCTGGGTAATATGTAAGGACAAGAGGCTCACAGTTTTGGAGGTTGATAGTCCAAAATTCATCCTCTGGTGAGGGCTTTTTGACAGTTGGTATCACAGCAGCAGCTCATGTGAGGGACAGAGATCAGACAGTGACAGGAAGCCAAAGTGCAGATAGGCCAGTTTTACTCTTCAATAATACCTCTGTGAGAACTAACTAGAATCCCATGAGAACTGTGTCAGTATACATAATAACAACAAACTGGGAAACCATTCAAAAACTCAAATGTCAATCAAGAGAGGAATGAATGAGTAAGAAAATGCTATCTATTTAAAGGAATAAGTTATAAAACATTTTACTTGATACAAATAACATGGACAAATTTCACATTTTCAGTGAAAAGCACCAGAACACCAAAAAGTACACACTGTAGTTTTCTAGTTGTATGAAGTGTTAGATAATTTAACCTATGAGAGAGGCATATCAGTCGTTCGCTAAGATGAGCTGGGGATGGGAAATTCACGACAGAGAAGAAAGCATCTGGGTCCTGTTGATGGAATCCTCATTTTGTCTTCTGTGCTTTTGATAGGAATCATCTGCTTGGTCTCTTTGGATGGACATGTTCCTTGTATGTATAAATCCAATTTATTTATTTCACAATGATGATGATGACGACGGTAATAACAACAAAAGCAATATTCACTGGGTTCTTCTTATGAGCCTAGCCACACGCTGCACTCTCACACAATTCTTAGGACAACCCAGTAAGGCAATACTATTATTATCACCCTACACTCTTGCCTTAAAAAAAAAAAGATGAGGAAACTAAAGCCCAGACAGGCAAATTAACTTTCTCAGGATATCTCACAGCTAGAGTAACATGCTTCATTCTAAAAATTCATGTTCTTATCTATTATGAAAAACTTACAATGGCATAAACTATCTGCTTGTAGATATTTAAATACGGACCAGGTGTCTGGAGGCCCTTGATTCATGGTAACTCTTGATACTCGCTAGAATATCATTTGCTCTAGCATTTTCCCTACTTGTTCTCTGGGATCCCATCCCAAGTCCAAGATGAAGTGTCCTAAACTTCTTCAGCTTCCACATAACATCTATCTGATTTCCCAGTTATGATTTTCAGATGAGGATACTCTGCTCAGTTCTGTCTACTGTGACTATCTGCCTAATATTCCTCTTTCTCTAACCGGAACCCAAACCAATTTATTACTCATGCACTAGGAATGTTTTCATTATTCATTAACACTAAAGAAGAACCCAAGGCATGTAAGAACACCCTCAGCACAGAAATGCTAAATCAGATTAAGTCACTGAGAAAGAGCAGTTACAATGCCTACATAGTAAGACCTTTCCTGCATACCTTCCAAGATTGCACATACTCAAACTAGCATGAATACCTGAATAGAATACTTTACCATCATCATTAAAATTAAGGGAAGTAGCGAGGCACTATGGTGCAGTTTTGTAATCTCTGCCTCTCTGGAGGCTGAGGCAGGAGGATCACAAAGTTCAAGGGCAGCCTTAGCAACTTAGTGACCCTATCTTAAAATAACAAGGGCTGGGGATGTAGCTCAGTGGTAAAGAACCCCTGGGCTCAAATCCTACAACTTCAAGAAATAAATAACAAATAAACAAGTAAATAAAATTAAGAGAAGTACACTGTGAGCAAGGGGTTATTCAACAAATTTTTCAAATATGTAAAACAAGGAAGCATATTTTCCAGTTTTGTTTTGTTTGGCACTATTTGTCACTCAGAGTTGAATTTTACTCAAAATGTTGACATCTCCGCATACATTAACATACCAAAAATTGAAGATAATTGCTTTAACTTAACAGGTGTTTCCTTTGAATCTGAAGTGTTTTGCAAGGTAGGCTAAAATATGGTCTAGAAAAATGGTTTCATATCCAAATTGTAACTGAGGAAAAATTGATTGTAATAAGGAACTCTATGATGAGACAAATCCTACAGAAACATTTCATTTCGCAGAGTTCTATGATATTCAAAGTTGGAAGTTTGCCCTTAGAGGCTGACATACAAAATTTAATAACTGTACCCTGGAGACAGTTTTGCCGTAATGTCCTACGGATTACAGTATGATAGAAGTACGAGAGAAAAAGAAAAAAAAGTTAGGAAGGAGACATGAAGGACATGGAAATCAAATTTTAATTCGGAAATACTGCATACTTTTCCAGGTCTGTCATTCCCCAAGACAGTCTCTCTCTCCCAGATCTGTTACTCCCAAATTTCGGGGAAATCTGTAAATCTTAAGATTACTGCTAGTTCACCCACTTGTGAAAATAATCGTGCACACTGCTAATTACCCCACCAATAAATATATTAAGAGAAATTTTCATTAATTAAGAACATTTTAAGAAATCTATAATTTAGGGGATATTCCAACCTTTATCTATCAGTTAAGATAATGGAGAGACCACCTAAGCCGGAGCATCCTGAGAATGACCAGAGTGTCATAAACCATCTTGAGATCCTGGGACTGATGTCATCCCTTTCACACCTTCCCATACCCATGCCTCACCAAGTTTCCTTCAAGAGTTGGGAACCTCCAAACGAGTCCCACTTCCCAGATGGCCCGCATTCTTCCTTGAGTTTGAACTCCTTGCTTTCCTAAGTCAACCTCTGCTGATTTACTGGCTCAAGCTCTTCCTCCAGGAACGTCCAGGACCCGCGTCCTGAGTCCAGAGTCCCCCCCACTCTGGGGATTCCCCTGGACACCCACTTCTGGGTAATTTTTAAAGGTGCTGCCCAACAGCTAGAGCCCTGCGTCTCAAACGGCCTTCAGGAAAGTGGCTTTTCCACAGACTGGAAGGAAGGGCAATCTCCTCGGTGGAGGGCCGCCTCCTCCGCCTTCGCCTCGCTACTGGAAGGGGAGATTTCCGCCCCCAAGGTGAAGGTCAGAGGCAAATTTACCAAGTTTGGGTTCCACAGAAGAAGATAATGGTCAAGGTGTGAACATGATTGCATTCCCCACTGCCCGGACAAGAAGGAGCCCCGGGCTGCCTCTCCCGCGGAGCCCAGGGGCTGAGGGTGGGGGGCTTACCACGCTCTCACGGCCATAACGGACCCAGTCTTCCCGGAGAGGATCGCTGCCCGGACGCCACACAGGAGGACACCGCGGCCGCACTCTCATTGGCTCCAGGAAGCCGGAAGTGCGTGCGTCTGGCGGAAGTGCTCTTCCCGTGCGGTCCGCCCGGCCGGGCCCTCAGGTAGGCGGGGCCCCTGGTTCCAAACTCCCGGATCTGTACGTTCGCGGGAGGCCGAAAGGGCACCGGGGTGGGGGAAGGGGTGCTGAGGAAGGAGATTGTCCGCTTCTGATTGGGGAGGATCGAGGAGAGTTTCGGGGGCGGCGGGTTCGTGGCCGCCTCTGGGGCACCCGGGGCCTGGTCATCCCGGCCCGCGGGACCTAAACGCCGGAGCTTCAAGTGCCCGCGGGGAGCTGGGGTCGGCGGTGGTCGGGTCGTCGGCCTGGCCGGGCTGGTGGGGGTGCGACACGCGCTGCTCCCGCCCAGCCGCAGGAGGCGAGCTCAGCGCCCTCTGCTTGTCGGGGCTTCTGCGTTTGACAGATTCCCGCGGGGCGTGTCGGCTGCCCCGGCTGCCCCAGTGGGAGCGTCTGGACCGCTTTAGGCCGCCTTCTGCACAGCAATAAACCGCTGGTTAACTGTACTTTTCCCTAGCTAGCTCCACCCCCAGGTGGTTTGAACTCTGAACCTATTGTCCTGATGAAGTTTCGATTTCTTCAAGTTGATGACATTGGGAACTTCAAGAATTGGAGGTTTATGCAATTTGAGACCGTCAGAACGGTGAGGTGCTCAGCCTTAACAGCCAGGTGAGCCTGAAGGACGGTACTTGAGAGCCCCTTCTGTAGTGTCAGTAAAAAGTGCACCACCTTCATTCAGTACTAGATGGTGCCAGCGGGTTAAATCTTTATGGGATCAATCTCCCATAAAGATGAGGCTTTTCAAGTGCCCCTATTTTCCCGAAATTAGTAAGAACAGCTTGGCCTCATTAACATACGTTGAGAGCTGGGTGTTGTGGCACATGCCTCTAAGCGACTCGGGAGGCTGGGGCAGGAGGATCACAAAGTTATGGCCAGCCTCGGCAAAGTAGTGAGACCCTCAACAACTTAGCAAGATACTGTTTCAAAAAATTTTTTTTAAGTAAAACAAAATAAAAAGGTCTGGGACTGTAACTCGGTTTTAAAGCACATCTGAGTTCAACCCCCAATACCAAAAAAATAAGAACTGGGGATACAATGCTCGGTGGTAAAGCACCACTGTATTCAAGCCCCAGAATGAATAAATGAATGAATGAATAAATAAATAAATAAAATTCTAAGGGCTGGGGAGGTGGGTAGTTCAGTGGTAGTGTGTTTGCATAGTGTTTGACAGGCTCTGGGTTCAATCCCCATCTCCACAATAAGTAAATACATCAATAAAAATTGAGCCCTTTTATACTTGTCTCAGTCATTAAATGTCTGGTTCTGTATTAGGTGCTGAGAAGATTAAGAGGGAAATCTGACTCATTTTCTGCTTTCTGGAATTTAGTCAAAAGAGGAAGCTAGACAAATAAACATTGTGCTATAATAAAATCATATTTTATAGTAAAAATAAGTGCTAATAGACAGTATAATGTGGAATACAGAGGAAGAAGCAATCATTTCTCATTATTTGCTTACTAATTATTTATCCAGGATTATACTGGAAAGGAAAGATACAATCCCAATGCTCAAATAATCCACAGCCTAATGAGTGGAAGGAAATCCAGAAAGGCGAAGGAAATCCAGTAGGTGACCTTGAAAAATTTATGAGCTAGACTTAATACTTAGAAAAAGGTGGAGATTCGGAAGAGAAGGGTGAAGTGACCATGAATGTAGCTCAATTGTAGGATATGTGCTTTGCATTCATGAGTCTCTGGCTCCAGTCCCCAGCACATACCACTAAATAAATGGGAAGTGAGACTAGATTGTCATTGATTACATTCTATTTTGAATATGAGATAAAGATCCTCTCCACTAGATGTTTACATGCCAAGTTATAGGAACATTTTAAATGCTATAATAAATTAAGGATTTAAGTTTTTTGTTTATTTTGTTTTGGTATTATTGATTGAACTCAGGGTGTTTTGCCACTGAACTGTATAGCCTTAGCCCTATTTATTTATTTATTTATTTATTTTTTGGTACCTGGGATTGAGCCACATCCCCAAACCTTTTCTTAACTTATTATTTTGAGACAGGGTCTTTTAAGTTGCTTGGGGCCTTACTAAATCACTTAGGCTGCTCTCTTACTTGCAATCCTCCTACCTCAGGCTCCCACGTTGCTAAGATTACAGGCTTGTGCCAACTTGCCTGCCAGCCCTTTTAATTTTTTTTTTGACTTTCAATTTAAATTTATTTATTTTGGGCTGGGGATGTGGCTCAAGCGGTAGCGCGCTCGCCTAGCATGCGTGAGGCCCGGGTTCGATCAGCAGCACCACATACCAACAAAGATGTTGTGTCCGCCGAGAACTAAGAAAAAATAAATAAATGTTAAAATTCTCTCTCTCTCTCTCTGTCCCCCTCTCTCTCACTCTCTCTTTAAAAAAAAAAAAAAAATTTATTTATTTTAATTTCATATTGACACCACAAATAATACCACTTGCCATACTGTAAAAATATAATGAACCAAAGTCATCAATTAAAATAATTTTAAAAATGGAAAGGGAACTGAATGCAAATAAAAATCAATGTAATTGAGCTATAGAAATAAGCACTTAGTGGGGCTGTGGTTGTAGCTCAGCGATAGAGTGCTGTTGTTCGATCCTCGGCACCATGTAAAAAATAAATAAGTAAATAAAGGTATTGTGTCAACCACAACTAAAAATATTTAAAAAAAAAAGAAATAAGCACCTAAAAATAAATTTCTCAATCAGAAAACTGGACCTGTTGTAAGCAATTTCTGAAAATTAGGAGATTAGAGAAAGGGAGTAAATTGGAGGATGTATGCTACTCAAGCACTTGAAGGTAAAGTCAGCTCTTTTTATTTTGAAACAGGGTCTTTCTAAGTTGCTGAGGGTCTCCCTGAATTGCTCAGGCTGGCCTTGAACTCATGATCCTCTTGCCTCAGCACCCCTGTTAATTATAGGCTTGTACCACCATGCCGCATTTTGGATTTAAGTTTTTGATGAGTGCTTACACTTAATATTAAGCAAAATAATTACTTTCCCTGAAAGGAATTAAGTTTAATTTTATAAATGGAAATTTAAATGCTATAGCTATTAGATACAATATCAACACACCAAAATTGGTAGCTTTCCTCTACATTATCAATAATCAGATATGGAATTGGAAGTATAATTCAGTGATAAAATGCATGCTTAGCATGTGTGAGGCCTTGGGTTGAATCACCAGCAACAACAAAAAGTAATTACAATAAAAAAACTCTTTCTAATGTTATGAAAAAATACAAAATATCTAAGAATAGCCAGTGCTCAAAGCCTATTTTAATAAAATAACACCTTTTTAAAAAAACTATGATAATAAAATAAAAGAAACTAGGGGCTGGGGCTGGGGCTCAGTGGTAGAGCGCTTGCCTAGCATGTGTGAGGCTATGGGTTTGATCCTCAGCACCACATTTTAAATAATAAATAAAGGTATTGTGTCCATGTATAACTAAAAAAAAAAAAAAAAGAAAACCTAGGTAAATGAAGCAATATGTTTCTGGATAGAAAAACTCAAGTTTCCCCCACCCCTCCAAAAAAGAAAAAAAGCAAAGGGCCAGAGGTATAGCTCAGTGATAGAATTCTTGCTTAACATGTACAAGGTGCTAAGTTCAGCCTCCAGCAACAACAACAACAAAAGGAACAAACAAAAAAATTCAGGAAACCACAAATTTCAAGAATGCAGGTTTTGGGCTGGGGATGTGGCTCAAGCAGTAGCGCGCTCGCCTGGCATGCGTGCGGCCCAGATTCAATCCTCAGCACCACATACAAAGATGTTGTGTCCACCGAAAACTAAAATAAATAAATAAATAAATATGGTTTAAAAAAAATTCTCTTTCTCTCTCTCTCTTAAAAAAAAAAAAAAAGGAATGCAGGTTTTGCCAGGTGCAAGAGGATCAAGAAATTCAAAGCCAGCCTCAGCAACAGTGAGGTGCTAAGCAACTCAGTGAGACCATGTCTCTAAATAAAATATAAAATAGGTCTAGGAATATGGCTCAATGGTTGAGTGCCTCTGAGTTCAATCCCCAGTAGCACCACCCCCCCAAAAACAGAATGCAGTTTTTTTCCATATTCATCTTTTATTTTAATGTAATTTGTCAAAATTTCAGTAGGATTCAGAGGTGGGTGGGGGTGCTGGGGATCAAACCCAGGGCATCACAAATGCTGAAGCAGGCACTCTCACTGCACTACAGCCCCATCCCTCAGGTAACATTAATTAATTTTAAATCACAACTGCTCTGCTGCACAACTGTAATCCCAGCTACTGTAGGCTGAAACAGGAGACTCACTAGTTTAAGGCCAGCCTGGGCAACTTAACAAGACCCTGTCTTAAAATAAGAAAGTAAAAAGGGCTGAAGGGTATAGCTCAATGGGAAAGCAACCCTGGGTTCAATCCCAAGTACCATAAATAAATAAACAAATGGCACTGGTATGTTGAATCTCTTCGAATAACCAAATATACTGTGATGTGGATTTACTCTTCTACATAGAGAATAAAATGGCTTCCAGAGGAAAGATGGAGACAAGCAAATTAAAGCAGAATTTAGAAGAGCAGTTGGATAGACTAATGCAGCAATTACAAGATCTGGAAGAATGCAGGTAATAGTATAATTGTATGTTGTTATGTTATAAAATGACCTTTCTCTGCAGTTAGATTACAAGCTCCATGGATGCAGGCCCAAGTGTGATTTTGGTTTCCCCGGTAGTGTTTTTCACAGTGCTTTGTTGTAGCAGTAAACTTAGTGCAGGCCTTGGAGTCATAAAGCCTAGGATGTGGGTGTCTTTCAAGTAATTACTAAGTGCATGTGAACTTGGGCAAAATATTTAACCTCCTTGAAGTGGAAATAGTAACACTTACCTTGTCTTTAGTATTTAAAATAGACCTGCCTGGTGGGTGGTTTCAGCCTTAACTGCTCAAAGGACCAAGACTAGGCTGGGGGCATATCTCTGTGGTAGGGTGGGTGCTTAGCATTCTGAAGACCCTGAATTCAGTCCCCAGTACCAAAAGCAAACTAATAAAAAACAGAAAGCTTGTTTTTTTTTTTTAAAATATTTATGTTTTAGTTGTAGTTGGACACAATCCTTTATTTATTTTATTTGTTTTTATGAGATGCTAAGTATGAAACCAGTGCCTCACCCATTCTAGGAGAGTGCTCTACCTCTGAGCCACAACCCCAGCCCCCTAAAAAACCAGAAAGTTCTTGACAGCCTTACAAAGTTGTTGTTGGTATTACAAATGAAGGGGGGCCACACAATGCTCAGCCCAGAGTAGGTGCTCAATATGTGGAAGTTCAATAAGTAGGAGCTGTTATTACTTGTAGTAAACATTTAATAAGCCATATAGGAAAGAAAAGGCATCACAGCTCAGCACATGACACTGATTTCCGGACACTGGGGCCTCGGGTCTCTTTCTCACTTGACCCACTCCACTCTACTCTCACCTTCACCTTCAATAAATCTGTACTTTGATTTGGGTCATGGCTCCATGGTAGAGTGCTTGCCTAGCATGTGTGAAACACTGGGTTCAATTCTTAGTACTACATATAAAAATAAAATAAAGGTCCATCGACAACTAAAACAAGTTAAAAATAAAATAAATCTGTACTTTACTTGTTTAAGAAAAAAATAATAAATGACTTGCTTGGTGAATTAAAATAATTTCTTACTAAGATGACAAGTACTGCATTGCTATTATTGTGTAGTATACACAAAATGTTTACTACCATTAATGATGATGATAACAACAGCTACTTGGTAGGTGCCGAGGCACATGCCTGTAATCCCAGCAACCCCACAGGCTGAGGTAGGTGGATCACAAGTTTGAGGTCAATGTCAGAAACTTAGTGAGACCCTGCATGAAAATTTTTTAAAAGTGGCAAGGCTGGGGCTGGGGCTATATTGAGTGGTAGAGCACCCCTTGGTTTAATTTTCAGTACCACAAAACAAAACTGTCTGGTACCTGTTACTATATATGCCAGCACTTTGCTTATCTCATTTAACACCTCATAGCAACCTTATTAGGTAGGTACTATAATTACCCAAAGCATTATAGATAAACTAAGACTTGGCTTTGTTCAGGTGATACCATTGACTGCCTACAGGGAAGGTGGTGTGTAGTTTGTTACGTGTTTCCTATTTTGGTAAATGAAAAATGTTTAGGGGTTGGGGGTGTAGCTCAGTGGTAGAGTGCATGCTGTTGGCCTTGGGTTCTAACTCCAACACCAAAAAGAAAAAGAAAAAAAAAAATCATTATCAAAATAATCAGATTGTAAGAAATTGCCCTTACAGCTGTCTAGACACATTCATATCAGTAATCATCAGTGTTTTTTAAATTTTTTTTGTTTTTTTAGTTGTAGTTGGACACAATACCTTTATTTTATTTTTATGTGGTGCTGAGGATCAAACCCAGCGCTCCGTACACACTAGGTGAGCACTCTACACCGAGCCACAACCCCAGCCCCAATCATTAGCATTTAGATATTTCCCTTCAGCTTTCCTCTAGTATACAAGTACTAAGATTGCTTTTTTCACTTGGAACTTTGTTATTTTTCTGCATTATGATTTTCACTGTACTTCAGAGAAGAACTTGATACAGATGAATATGAAGAAACCAAAAAGGAAACTCTGGAGCAACTAAGTGAATTCAATGATTCACTGAAGAAGATCATGTCTGGAAATATGACTCTGGTAGATGAACTGAGTGGAATGCAGCTGGTGAGCATAACTTACGCTTGTTTGTTTGTTTTTTCCTGGTAAATAAATAAATATATTTCAGATAGAAAATGTATACTTTTTTGGGTGTAACTTCTCCACGATTTTCTACTTAATGCATAAAACAGCATATCCTTTCAGATCTTCACTTAGCTGTGTATCTGGTGCCACTGACATGCATAGAAATAGCAAATGAAAACTGATTTTGTAATAGTGTTTGATGAACAAAGACCTATTAATAAAAATCCATCAGTTAGGCTGGGCATGGTGGCTCACTCCTGCATGCTTAGTTGGTTAGGAGGCTGAGGCAGGAGGAGCCTAAGTTCAAGGCCAGCCTCAGCAATTTAGGGTGGCCTAAGTAACTTAGCAAGACTCTGTCTCAAAATTTAAAAATGAGTGAGGAATGTGGCTCAGTGGTTAAGTGCCCTTGGGTTCAAGCCCCAGTATACAAAAAAAAAAGCCATCACTCAATTATTGCAAATCTGATTCATTGTAATATTTTCCTTGGTTTTTGCCTTCCTGTGTGTTTAGGCTATTCAGGCAGCTATCAGCCAGGCTTTTAAAACTCCAGAGGTCATCAGATTGTTTGCAAAGAAACAACCAGGTCAGCTTCGGACAAGATTAGCAGAGGTAAAGTTTCTTTAAATTGATCCCATCTCTACTTTTCTTCCTAGCCTGAGAATTTGCTCATAGTAATAGTCTACAGTTGATTTTAGAGCCATCATTGACAATTTTTTGACAAAATTAGTACCTTGAGCAATTATGGTTGATAATGCAGATTTTTCAAGTTTATAGCAGTTTAAATTCCTCCGACTTCTTACTCCTCCTTTAATGTTTTACCGTTTGCTTCTGGTTTTCTAACTTGAAATCCCACTGAGAATTCATTAACAGCATTGCTTCCATGCACATTCAGTGCTGTGCTATCTAAGAATTTCAGGCATCTTTGAAAACCTGATAACATCCAAATGTCTGTTTATGGACTTGGATATAATTAAGGGCTAACAAATTATTTGCAAATATGGGTAATTCTTTAGCAATGATAAAACAGGATTTGGATCAGTTTGGCTGAATTTAAATCCCTGCCTCCATACTAGGGTATGTGACCTATGCCAGATTATTTCATTTAGTGCCTTAGTTTCCCTGTCTGTAATTACAAAGTAAAGATAGTGCCTACCTCTTGTGGTTGTTATGGATTTAATGAAATACTATATGTGACAGCATTTAGAATCCTGACACAATGGCATATATCTATAATCCATGCTATTTAGGAGACTGAAGCAAGAGGGTCACTTGAGCTCAGGAATTTGTGGACAGCCTGGACAACATAAGAGATCCTGTTTCAAAAAAAAAAAAAACAACAAAAACATAAGGATTGGGAGTGTAGCTCAGCGGTAGAGTGCTTGCCTAGCATGTGTAAGTCCTTGAATTCTATCCCTAGTACCTAAAAAATACATAAATAAATTTTTCTAAAATAGAACTGGGAACAGCCAGTGGTGTGATACATGCTATAATCCCAGCTACTGGGGAGGCTGAGGCAGGAGGATCTGAAGTTTGAGGCCAGCCTGGGCAATTTAGTGAGACATTATATCAAAAAAAAAAAAAAGGAAAAAAAGGGGGGGGGTCAGGCAAGTAGTTCAGTAGTAGAACTCTCTTGGTATTACATATGAATAAAATAAAGGTCCATTGACAACTAAAACAAATTAAAAATTTATTTAAGAATTGAAAAATTTGTACTAAGAATTGAACCCAGTGTCTCATACATGCTAGGCAAGTGCTCTACCACGGAGCCATGATCCAGATCAAAATACAGATTTATCTTCAGCACTATAAAAATAAAATTTAAGTAAAAAAATAAAAGCACTTAGAAAAGTACCAGTGTATATGTGATAAATGCTATTAGTGTATTTGGTAGTGAGGTTATGTGTAACATAAGGAATTTCTTAAAGGATAGCTCTTCTCCAAAGGAAGCTGTTGACATACTGCTAACCTTCAATAGGGTTGATAACTAAGACAGTAGTTATGATTACTATTAAAGCTTATTAAAACTCCATAAAAGCATTTCATCATGTTTGTCTTGGATTGTTTCTATAGTTCTTTATAATATTAATGAACTAAAGAGTTATGTTTTTTTTTTTAAGAAGTAGACCTGAAAAGCTAGATTTTGTGCGCAGAATGTTTTTCACTTATTTGCCTTGCATTCACTCATTATAGATGGATAGAGATCTGATGGTAGGAAAGCTGGAGAGAGACCTGTACACTCAACAGAAAGTAGAGATACTAACAGCTCTCAGAAAACTTGGAGAGAAGGTACCAGTATTTAATTTTATTTATTAGGTATAAAGAGAAATGTTAAATATTTTTTTACAGAAATTCTTGGCCTGCGATCTAGTTTGTGGACCTAAGACATTCTTAACTGTGGTTCTTAGAACCTGCTCCTAACATTTGCACCTACTCCACTGGGCTTTGTTTCATTTTGTTTAGCTGACTGCAGATGATGAGGCCTTCTTATCAGCAAATGCAGGGGCCATACTCAGCCAGTTTGAGAAAGTCTCCACTGACCTTGGTGAGTGTTCTTGTTTCCCTTCCTTTCTCAGGGACTGAACCCACATCCTCTTGCATGCTAAGCATACACTCTACCCCTGAGCTACATCCCCAGGCCCTTGTTCTCATATTCCTGAAAACTGGACACATATACTATTCCAGACTGACAGAGAGCAGAGCTGAGATAACATGACCTTTTCTTGAGTTTAGAGTGACACCACAGTTGTCTTCTTTACAAATCCTTTGTATTGATTTTATTTCCTAGTGTGTTACTGGGAAATAAACTCTAAATTTTAAAAATAATATTTTTTTGTTTAGTTTTGTTTAGTTTGGTTTTGTTTTGTTTTTTTGGAGATTAGGTCTTGCTGTGTTACCCAGGCTGGTCTTAAATTCTTGGGTTCAAGCAATCCTCCTGGGCGCTCTATAGGTGTGCACCCTTACATACAGCTTTGTAGTGTAACATTTTAAAATAATCATGAGCTAGATGTAATTAAAAGTATGCTAAAATGTTACATATTCTGTTTCATATCTAGAAGCCTATAAGGGTTTATAGCCAACAATCCATTCTTTGTGGCTGGATTGTTTATGCAGAGAAGGAAATAGGAATGGCAGTATAGGGGTTAATGAATTGATAATGAAAGCTAATTCTATTTTTTCTTTCAAAATCTGTGTGATAATTTTTTGCTCTTTATCTGAAATTATAAATGCATTTGAAGTAATCTTTTTATTATGTGTCTTTGTCTTTAGGCTCTGGAGACAAAGTTCTTGCCCTAGCAAGTTTTGAGGTTGAAAAAGCAAAAAAATGACATTGTGGAAGCTTCTGACATTGATCACATTCTTACTGTAAATAGTGTTTTTTCTTTGATGATTTTGAGTCATTGCAAAAAAAGAGAGTCTCAAAATGCATTAATATCCCAAGAACTGGTGACATGAAAACATACTATGTCTTCTGTTTATACTCTTCATCATTCTACTTTGTATAGGGCTCCCTGCTTGAGTGACCCTGGACTTGTTGGGACATTGGGACCCACTGAACTTTATTCATTATGATTTGTCTGTTTAAGACAGAACAGAAAATGAACTTCTTATTTTTTTTAAGGGTCCTTATTTTTAAGTGCTTATAGTGAGTGGGAAGATATGAGCTAATGATTCTTTTCTGTTCATAACTTATCTTTAGAATGAACATTGCAACATTACTAGACTTCATATATATTCATAGAATTCAGAATCTAAGTGATCTTAGAAATCCATTTTCATTTTACAAACCAGGAAATTGAAACAGTAAGAGCCAAGTGATTTGCTGAAAGTCACATTAGAGACTGGGGATAAGACTTAAGTGTCCTGACTCCCAGTTTATCACCCATGAGTTTTATTTCTTTATTCTGTACTGTTTTTTAATTAAAAAATAATTGACTTGTGTTGATGCAAGTCAGTGTCTATGAAAACTCTATGTCCCAACCCAAAATTAGCTGGGCATTAAGGATCCAGATCCCCAGCCTTGCAGTTCCCCAGCCTGAGAGCTCAGCTCAGTATGAATGGGGCCCATTGTATCCCTGAATTTCAAACTCGGAACAATGGGAGCCCTGTTGAGAGGCTCCTGAAGTAACTTAACCTCCCGTGCTGTGTCACTAGGAAAGCAATAGGAAATGGCAGCTATAAACCCTCCCTGTGTATAACCTCTTGCCAAACTCAGAGGGTGGCAACAGTAAGCTACTATCAACTCTTCAGTTTTTGGAGAGACACAAAATAAGTTAGGAAAAGCAAGCTTCTCTCCTGGGTGTCTGAGTCTAGGCAATAGCAAATATATAGCTGTGTCCCTGTGCATGTACGTTAGCTTTGGCCATTTTATATGTTTTCATATGTTTCTCAGTAGTGTTTCTTTGCACTTTATACAAATTAAAAGCATTTTTAACACTTCTTGTATACTGTAAACTCTACTAGGTGCTTTGCCAACTGAACATATTAAAGGACCTCAGCTACATTGATGCCTTATTTGGAACTTTTAATGATTTTTGTTGTTTTTGAGACAGGGTCTCTGTAATCTTGAACTCCTGTGCTTCAGTGATCCTGCATCAGCCCTCCTGAGTAGCTGGAACTATAGGCGTGTATCACCATGCCTGGCTAATGTGTTATACTAGTTTATGACCATCAAAAATTCAATGAAATTGTGACAAATTAAGAAAAATTTCTGGCTATTCATCTAGAACTTTTTGATTATCATTTCTTTTTTCTGTGCTTTTTAAATGGAGGTGAAATTTGTATAACATAAAAGTTGCCTTTTTTTTTTTGTACTGAGGATTGAACCCAGGGGCACTTATCACTGAGTAACATCCCGAGCTCTTTTTATTTCTTTATTTTGAGATGACAGGGTCTTGCTAAATTGCTTGCCTCACCAAGTTGCTGAAGCTGTCTTTGAACTTGTGATTCTCCTGCCTCAGCCTCCTGAGTTGCTGGGATTACAGGCATGTGCCACAACTCCATCATTTGATAATGTCCAATTCAGTGGCAATTGGCATGTTTGCAGTCTTGTAAGGCCACCACCATTCTCTAGTTTGGAAGCATTTTTATCACCCCCAAAGGAGACCTTCAACCTAGCAAGCAGATATCCTCCATCCCATCTCCTCCCGGCCCTGCAGCAACCATTAGCCTGCTCTCTGCTCTAGGGTTTTATCTTAAACTCCATGTAAATAGAATCATATAAGTGACCTTTTGGTGTGTCTGGTTTCTTTTACTTAGTGTATTTTCAAGGTTAATCCACATGGAGCATGTATTTTATTTCTTTTTGTGGCTGAATACCACATTTTGTTTATTTATGTATCTCTAAATACCTGGTTGGGTTGTTTTCACTTTTTTAGCTGTTGTGAATAGTTTTGCTATGAACATCTGTGTACAGTTACTTGTTTGAATACCTGTTTTCAGTTCCTTTGGGTATAGACCTAGGAATGGAATTACTATGTTTGATTGTTTTTTAAGTGGTAGCAAGATTCTTCCCTGTACCTTCCCCCTAATAAACTAGGAAAATAAGGAATATTTTGCATTTGAAAAAAATTCACGTGAACCTAGGGTCCTTAATCTTAGTTCCCCTTAAACCTTTATTACCAACATCAGTGAAATAGTTTGTCATTAATCACATTAGTGAATTCAATTTAAAATCATCTTCCTTTACAGGAGGCCAGGTTTTCAATGCTAGCAAGACACTGACACAATCATAGCTATATAACCTTCTGTTTATTACTTCATTTTTTGAGTCTCACTTTCTTTTCTGTTCAATGGGATAAGACCTACCTCATAGGATTACTGTGCATTCCCCTCTCTTAATAAGAAAAAAGGAAGTTCTGGAGTTAATCTACCATTTAAAAGCTCTTTCAAGAGGGGCTGGGGATATAGCTCAGTTGGTAGAGTGCTTACTTTGCATGTACAAGGCCCTGGATTTGATCCCCAGCACCAAAAATATGAAAATTTAAAAAAAATAAAAGCTCTTCCAAGAGCCATATGATAGATTTTGTTTCACAATTTTGATATTCAAAATATCAAATATTAAGTTGAAAATATGTATTTACAATTATTAAATGACTTGTAAACTATGTTTCCTATTCGCATTTTGCTACTTTTTAGATCTCTTTGGAAGTTGTAGTATCACTAAGGCAGCTAATTTTTCAACATTCTTTGGTTGGGCTAATATTTTGGCAAAAATTCCTGTATTTCTCAAAGAACTACAGCTGAAGCAGAAATAAGTTCCAATGAACAAGCCACCAACCAAATGAGTGTTTTATTTTATCTTCTTGAGTGGTGAATAGGTATTCTAGGTGGATGGATGGTTTTTCAGGAAGAAACTGAGGGATGCAGGAGTTGTTTCCAGGAAAGAGTTGGAGTTGGGACAAATGGATTGTTAGACCTTCTGTTGAAGACATTCAGCCAAAGAAAGGTCATCTTTAGCAAAAGAAAAGACTGCAGCTCTACCATTGAAATGGCATCTCACTACAGTGAAGGATGGATAACTTGAATTTATTACAGAACAAATAAATCCAGATTATTTCGCCTAGAACCTTTCAACTACTTTTCTGTCCATGTTTTTTTTTTTTTTTTCCCTTACTCTGTTCATTCCTAAAACCAAAGAGTGTTTTGCCTTTCGGAATGTTTTCCAACATTAGTATGTAAATTAAAACTGTCAGCATTCCCACAGACCCCAGTGAACAAGCTGCAAGATGTAATTTTCCATTCTATCTGGCCCTGGAAGTAAAAATATTTTAGAAAATGGAGAAACTAGTATTTAATATTTCACCAAGTCACAAAAAGCAAGTTAAAAATATGTCTCTTATAGATAACCCCCTAGAATGTGGCCTTTTGAAGTTTTCCTCCCTTCTCACACAGCTAAGTGGAAAGACCATTGCAGCCAGGGCCTTGAACACAAGGGGTCAGCAACATTTTCAGAGTTCATGATGGAAAGCCCATGCTGTTCCAAAGAAATGCAGCAAAGTAGAGGTTTGAAGCTATCTATTGGAAGTGTTCTAATGCTTCATTGTTTGGTTTGCCTCTGAGAAAAGAACTACTTACAGTCTCGTTATTTGACTAGAACTAAAAATGACCAGGGCTGGGGAATGTGGCTTAAGTGGTATGGCACTTGCCTAGCATGTACGAGGCCCTGGGTTCAGTCCACAGCATACTCTTTTTAGAGGCATGAAGTGCTGTCTTTTTTTTTTTTTTTTTTGAGTGAATATAATACTGAAAAACCAGATTACATTACTTCTAAGATTGTGTCAACCACGGATCTTCTGCCCCATAACCATAGCACTTTCATAAAAAACCTGATGAAGCTGTGCTACAATCATAATTTCACCTTTTGCTACCTTTTAGATCTCTTTGGAAGTTGTAGTATCACTAAGGCAGCTAAGTTTTAATGATTTAAGTGCACACATTAATTTTTTGGGTGGTGGGGGGGACTGGGGATTGAACTCAGGGGCATTCAACTACTGAGCCACTTCCCCTCTTTTGTATTTTATGTAAGACAGGGTCTCACTGAGTTGCTTAGCACCTCACCATTGCTGAGGCTGGCTTTGAACTCACCATCCTCCTGTCTCAGCCTCCCCAGCTGCTGGGAGGTGTGTACCACTGAGCCCTGCTATAAGCACACATTATCTTAATTGTCTATTTACTCTAAAATGTGTAAGGGAATAGGCAGCAAAATCACAAGTTCAAGGCCACCCTGGGAAAGACCCTGTCTCAAAAAATAAAGAGGATTGTAACCCAGTGGTAGAGTACCCCTGGATTAAATTCCCAGCACCATGAATGAATGAATAAAATCCCCAACATCATCAATAAATACTGAGGCATTTACCTTCAATGAGAACTGAAGAGGAAATATAGGTAGAAGTAAATGTTTGGCCCAGATTAGATTGTGATTGTTATAGCTATGGTTGGGCCTTGATATTAGAAATTGTGGTGCTTTTCTGTTTCATGTTTTTTAAAAAAAGAGCTGTGGTGGTATACACCTGTTATCCCAGCAACTTGGGAGGCTCTGGCAGGAAGATCATAAGTTATAGGCCAGCCTCAGCAATTTGGGAGGCTGAGGCAGGAGGATTGCTAGTTGGAGGCCAACCTAAGCAATTCAGTGAGGCCCTGTCTCAAAAAGGTCAGGGGCTACATTGTGGCTTAGTGGAAAGAGTGCTCGCCTAGCATGCGCAAGGCACTGGGTTCAATCCTTAGCACCACATAAATGTAAAATAAAGATATTGTGTCCAGGGCTGGGTTGTGGCTCAAAAGTAGAGCACTTGCCTAGCACATGCAAGGCCCTGGGTTCTATCCTCAGCACCACATAAAATAAATAAAATAAAGGAATTGCATCTTCTACAACTAAAAAATAAATATTAAAAAAAAGAAAGAAATTAAAAGGGCTGGGGATGTAGCTCAATGGTAAAGTGCCCCTGGATAAAATTCCCAGTATCAAAAATGACAACAACAAAATAATAATTTTGATAACATCTCAAATTTTACATCAGGTTTATTCTAAGTCTTGGCAAATTATACTTGGTTTGTTTTATATAGCTTAGAACTTATTTATTTAAACATTCTGTTTATAGTTACTCATGAAAAGAGCATTTGTACTTTTGGTGTCCATAGGGTCAACTCTTTTAGCTTCTCAGCCTTGCAGCATTTCTTTTCAAACTGTCTTCTAGAAGCTTCAGTGGTTTGTTCCTAGGCTAGAAACTACCAAGAGCAAGATTCCATATAAAGAAGTACAGATAGATATACCATTCTCAGAAAAATGTGGACTGTGTCCATGCAGAACTCATTTTAGGGAATCTGACCAGGCCAGTGGCACCCTTTGTTCCAACAAAGTGTTTCTGACCTCCCACCATGTTATTTGTGCCACAGTGGAAGGTGCATTGTGCCAGGTTAATTTTGTTATAATCAGAGGGCAAGGGATGTAGCTCATTAGTAAAGCACTTGCCTAGCACATTTGAGGCCCTGTGTTGAATCCCTAGTACACATAAAGAAAAGCACTGGACAAACTGTATCCTCTAGGCCCTTCAAGTTTGAAAACACAAACTGTGCTTCTCCCTTGTAAGGGAATAGGTGTTAAAATTGAATAGAAGAAAACATAGTTTGAGAAAATATTCTGCCATGCTGGGGATTGAATCCAGGGCCTTGAGCAAGATAGGCACATGATGTATCACTGAGGTACATCCCCACTCACTGTGGAAAAATAGCAGCAGTGACTGTATAGGAGTTGGGGAAATCTCTGATTGTGATGTCATTGGATCTTTCATCAGCAGTTTACTGAATGCTGGTATATATATGCCAGACACATGTTACCTGGTTCATTTTTCCAAAATGGATGTTGGACATGGTCCTTTTTTTTTTTTTCCCCAAATAGGACTCATATCATTAATAAGACTTGTATCATTAATACATCCATAAATTACAGGTGTATAACCATAAAATTTTGTTTATAGTGATAAAAGCTAGATTGAATATAAATCTAAAAATGATGTTTCTTAGCTGGATCCTTAGAAACATTTAAAGTGTTCATCTAAATATTGTGAAATAAACAAATATTATAAAGAATACTATACTTGATCATAATCCTGATCCATATAATTTGATCTAAATAATCTTTTAATTAGTTTATTTTTTTAATTTTTCACATACTGAAGATTGAATCCAGGGGTGCTTTACCACTGAGCTATATATCTAGACTTTTTTATTTTGAGACAGGGTCTTATTAACTTACCCAGGCTGGCCTCAAACTTGGAATCCTGCCTCAACTTCCTAAGTCACTGAGATCATAGGCATGTTTGGATGCTGGGGGGTTGAACTCAGGGCCTTACACATTAGGTAAATGCTCTACCACTGAGCTACATTCGCAGCTACATTCTAGAAGAGTCCATTTCTATTCCTGATTCCGCTATTCTTTCATACCTAGTTTTTGTCTTACTTTGTCAACATTCAAATATCTACGTTCATGTAGATATTTTGTGAGGAATGGTTATTAAATGTGTAAATTGCTTTAAAACTGCAATGAAAAGAATTGTGAGAAAGCAAAATAAATACTATCTTTAAAAATATTTAAATATGTATTTTAAGCCTGGCATGTTATCGCAGCTATTTGGGAGGCTGAGGCAGGAGGATCACAAGTTTGAAGCCAGCCTGGGCAACTTTGTGAGACTGTGTCTCAAAATGAAAAATAAAAAGGGCTGGGGATTTAGCTCAGTGGTAGAGGGTCCCTGGGTTCAATGCCCAGTATGGTTACCAAAAAGAAAAAAAAGTACTCAGTGAATGAAAGAATAAAAGAGGAAGCAATGCATTTGGATTGACTTAAGGAAGTTCATATGTTCATAACTGAGATATTTGAAGTAATGGGAAATGATGAATCATAAAAAGTAACTAGGAACACCTAATATAGGTAAAAACCCACCATTCTGTGGCTCCTGCATTTTTCTTTCCTGGAGGTGAGGTGAGGTGAGTTACTTTTTCTGAAGAAATTATTTCTTTCCAATGATATAAAATGGTCTAAAGAGATCTTACAATAGCCCAAGACTTCCTGAGGAAAGAACTGGGTGTGTGGGAACTCGTGTGTTAACATTAGGCTGTCTCAGCAGGGTGTCACTGGCAACAGAAATGTAAAGCAAATTAAAACTAGTCCTTTTCTGTTTACCAGACCCTGCAACCCCTTTAGTTTGCTGCTTGTATGTGTCTCCTATTCTGAAAAGAAATCAAATGGAAACTGCCTGCCCAAAGTTAAAAAGTCCTATGTGTCACCTGTATGCTTGCTTGAGGACTCCCTGTCTCCTCTGTGAGCCTGTCCTCTTTCCTAAGAAAGCTTTTCTGCTTATTAGTGAAATAAGTGTCCCTTTCTATTCTGTCTCTATTTAGCCACCAATTAGTCAGATGAGCAGAAATGCTCCCACACTGAGTGCTGTGCTAGGGGCATGAGGAAGCCGCTCCACTTCATGTGCAAGCTATGTGAGCCCTTTTTATCTCCCAGGAGAGGCCCTCAATAGGTTTGCTCTACCCCCTGGAGCCTGTAGCTATTTCGGTCTAACTACTCATTAAAGTCAATTTAAGATATTGCTAAAGCCTTTGGATTCTTTAAGTGAATTGCCTCCACTTCAATTCAACTAAAAATAATTCACTTTTATTCTCCAGGGAGGCTCCCAAGTTACATGAACTCCCTCCTCAGCCTTACCCCAGTAAAAATATGGATGTCCCTAGCAAGATTAGCTTCTTAAAAAAGACTGGGACTCTTACTGGGAATGCATGTCTAACTACAAGAATGGAAGCAAAGGACAGACCCAAGGTAAAGCCAAGGCCAGGAATATAAATGAGAAACCAGGACTTTGGGAAAAGGCAGGCATTTTTCTTTTATCCTTTAATGACATATAAAAATTGATGAGAGTATGTAGCAGCAAACCAGAGCCATCCGTCACCAAGGGATATGTACTATGCCTTTCTTCTTCTGCCTTGGGAGCCCATTCCAGAATTGGGAGCCTTGGCATAACTGGCAGAAGAGTGAGCTGAGCACTCCAGGCAGGGCAGAGC